CATCTCAGTGTGGGTCTGGCTCTATGCTACAGAACACTATTGTTCTCTATAAACTCTAGTCCTGAGCATTGTGCTACAAGTTGACAGAATGTCTGTTCATGAATTCCCAGTGAACTCACCTCAAACAGCAATATATATATACACAAAATCAGAAGCAGATGAAACACATGCCAAGAAATGCAGAGGCAAATGAGGTGGGAGGTGCAGGGAGACCACTGGATAACTCATGAATGTTTTACTGTGGCTTCAAAAACTTTGAGATAGAACATCCTTAAGGTATATGTCTTCTGAAAAAAAAAGTCTGGGGTGTAGTATTGAGCACTTGCCTAGCAGAGACCATGGGTTTGATTCCCAGCTCTGTGTACCAAACCAAAGCACCCCGAAATGAACCAGCCACATATATGCAACTGTATGGAACAAAATCACCCAGGAAGGCATTATAATTTGTAGCTCCACTGTGTATCAGATTGAGCCATGCCATGGGTCCTGCCATGAGACCAAAGTCTGTCTCATGCTTAGTTCAGGGTCTCATTTGGCTGATGTTCCCTGGGAACCAGAGAAGCATTCTTCCAGAGCTCTGATTAGTTTTCCACTTAGAAATTAGAGAGTCAGAGAGAGCAGGTCACTTCCCCAGAGTACACAGCCAGAATGTAGAAGGGCTAACATTTCAGTGGCAAGAGATAACTTTGGTTTTCAACTTGGCTGATAGACCTGGCCATATTGCCCATTCCACAGACAGAGTCACTATGGCTCAGAAAGCTGCCTTGCCCATGACCCTCAGCTCAGAGTTGCAGAACTTTCATCCATCATTGCTTATTGAGTGCCTGCTTTGTGTCAGACATGGACTGAGGTACCCAGGGAAGATATCAAACCACTGCCCTGGTGCAGTGCACATCCCAGAGGAGCTGCCCAGAATAAAGGGCAAGTGAAATAGTTCTGTGGAGCTAGCCAGTGACAGGGATGTGAGGAGAAATAAAAGTGGCGAAGGGGACAGAGTGCATTGATGGGTCAGCATGCACAGCACGTGGACCGGTGAGTTGGAGGGATGAGGAAAGGCTTTATGAGAAATCTAGGGAAGAGCACCCCAGCAGAGGGAACAGCATGTGCAGAGACCCCCGGTGTGAACACATGGCTAAGATAGTGTTCTATCTACTATGTCAGACAGTGTTCTACTGCTGTGAAGAGACATGATGACCAAGGAAACTCTTAAAAAGTAAGCCTTCAATTTGGGGTTTGTTTTCAGTGTCAGAGGTTTAGTTCATTATCATCATGGTGGGAAGCATGGCACACGTGGTGCTTGAGAAGGAGCTGAGAGATACATCCTGACCCACAGGCAGAAAAAGAGAGACACTGGACCTGGTGCAGGCTTTGAAACCTCAGAGCCAACCTCAGGTGACATACTCCCCAACAGGGCCACATCTCCTAATCCTTTTCAAATAGTGCCATTCCCTGCTGATTACACACTCGAACATAGGAGCCTAAGGGAGGGGCACTTATTCACCCACCACAATGCATGTAGGAGCAACCAGGAGGAGGCCAACAGGAAGCAAGGATTAGTGCGAGTTGGAGGCTGAGGGGCAGAGAAGCCCACCAGCAACAATGCCTCTGCTGGACTCCTCTGCTGGTTGATACTGTGGAGCATGGGGTTCGGATGAAGTCACTCGTGTGCCCTCTTGCCACCATGTAGGTAACGGGGAAAGGGCTATTTTCCAAGTCCAAGGTGGAAGGGAACATGTGGGAACTCTGTAGGGCATGCATCTCTAGATGATCTCTGCTCTGGAAAGGTGTTCCCACCACACCCAATCCTGACCCCTGCAGAGCCTGTGCACCGTAGAACAAGTGTGCTCGAGACAGGAAGCTCATTTTATGGATAGAAAATAGATTGTAAGCTGGGAAATGTACCAAAGGTGTTCAAATAACAATGATAGCCTGATCAGTAAGAGCCTATATTTTATGACTCCCCAAGAAGAGATGCTACGTCAAGATCCAACACCAAGGGAGGACATCATGGAGGAGACTCTGGATCAAGGGACTATCTGGAGCCAACTAGATGTTCTCTCTTGAATAGCTTCTCAAGAAGTATGAAAAAGCAGAGAGAACTCTAAAAATAAACACTAAAACTTCAAAAATGGAGACTGGAGTAATCAGGTATTATGAACACCCCAACAGAGGAGCAAGCTACTTTGAGGTGGTGAGCCTCCCATCACTCAGGGCATGCAAACAGAGTGCTCTTCACTCATCAAAGAAGCCATGGAAGAAAATTCTGACTGTTGGAGATTGACTGGGTAATGTCTCTGCAAGCTCAGATGCAGAGGCTTCCAAAGGCCTCAGGCAAAGCTTCTACCTCAAAATGTCATCTTTGGGCTTGTGACTTGAACCCCCATTGCATTTCAAGTTGCAAGTTTGGCTTCCATAACATCAGAGAAGAGTCACTCTGGTGGGGTGATCTGAGTAGGTGGAGAGAATAGATTTCATCAGTTCTTACATGACCTTTAGCCTTTACCTTTCTCTGTCCCCTGAAAAAGCAAACAGAAATTCACAACCACAGTTCAATAAAATAGCTAAAGGTGTTTAATAGTTGAGAAGACTGGATCTTTGATGGAGAACATGTCTGGTAGATGTGGGGGATACCAGCTAGGAGATCTCCAGATAGAAGCCCTCTGCCTATTAGATCTCAGCCTTCTTGTAACATAGAGCAGGCCCAGGCTCCTGATCTTTGTAAGCAGCAGTGGTCAATCCGAGAACAGTTATAGAGCACTTTGTGCCCAGTCCAGCAGTGTCTAGTTCTGGTTCCCATAGGTCAGTTCCTTTGTGATGAGTCTTAAAATGTGTACTCCCTTTATTCCTAAGTAAGAGAAAGCTGGGCTCGGCTCCAGAGCTGCTGTGTGTCCTTCAATGCCCATGTCCCTCCTGCCTCCTTGGTCTGCTTGTCCCATCCTAACCATTTTGTGAGGACTGGGACCACCTCACAGGAGGCCAGGCACCCGCTCAGAAGATGCTCAATACTTGGTGTATGTGTGTCGGGTGAGAGTGGAGGAGATAGTGGGGGTATGGGGTGGGGAGAGGAAGAGGTTGCCAGGGTTGCAAAGACAAGGTACAGAGAAATGGTCCACATAGAATTAGGAAGTAACTGAGGTGGGTGATGTTTCCCCTGGCCTTGGGCTGGCTGAGTGCCTGAGCCAATCTTAGAATTTTGGATTCTATTTCTCCATATATCTAACTAGCTACAAAGGGATTCTCCTGGCGCCCACTCACCTGGACTCCTACCTACTCCTCATAGTCCATCACTATGTAGAGCTCAGCTGTATTCCCTGTTCTCAAAGCTTTCTCAATGCTGTCCTGCCTCCTGGTTTGAGAACTTCTTCTTAGCATCCTAGGGCAGAGACCTTCCTTACTATCTGACCCAGCCTCCAGCCTTTCTTTCTGAACTACTCAAGCTATACCCCTTTGTATTGTCTTTTATCTCTGAAGGCATTGAGGTCAGGGATCTTGCATTTGCTGTCCGAAGCACCACCAGCAGGAGGCATGTTAAGCAAACACTTATGAGCGAATAAGAAAATCTATGAAGCAGTGAGTGGAGAAGGGTCTCTGGTTGAATCAAAGGCTCCCAGAGCTTTGGGAGCTCCCAGAGGAGCAGTGTTGGTGTCGGGAAGCTGTGGTTGGTCTGGTACTATTTCTGGGTGGGGGTAAGGGACACTGGCCTGGGGTTACAGCAAGATGGTAGAGTGGTATACATAAAATTATATCTCTGGTACACTGCTCCAGTATTTAGTCCTGTCTACAGAAGAAGCTAGCTTCCTATCCTTTAGGGACCTTCTCATGGTGGAAAAGAATTGCAGGAGAAGTCACTTTAAAGCAGAATTTATTGGGAAGAAGGTTTAATATAGATGTAAATATGGGTATGAATAAAAAGAGGTGCTCTGCCGGGGGTGGTGGCGCACGCCTTTAGTCCCAGCACTTGGGAGGCAGAGACAGGTGGATTTCTGAGTTCAAGGCCAGCCTGGTCTACAGAGTGAGTTCCAGGACAGCCAGGGCTATACAGAGAAACCCTGTCTCGAAAAACCAAAAAAAAAAAAAAAAAAAAAAAGGTGCTCAGCAGAAGAAAGACACTGAAAAGTGTGGGTATGGGCTTCTCAGAGGAGAGCCATACTTAGGTGTCCTAGCAGTAGCCACATATGTCACTCTGGTAACTCTCAAGCTACATGTTTTGTTTGTTTTTGCAACAGGGTTTCTTTGTATAACTCTGATTGTCCTGGAATTCAATCTGTAGGCCAGTTTGGCCTTGAATTTAAGAGATCTACCTGCTTCTGCCTTCTGAGTGCGGGGACAAAAGGCATGTCTAGCTTCAAGCTACATCTTAAAAGGTTGCTAAGAAACACCCTCCACTGATAAACAAGATCATAGGGTGGCTCCAGATGTGGCTAGAATTGTAATCTGGTAAAATGAACCATGGGTTGCACGAGAGGCCAAGACATATCTTCTACTGTAAATGGGATTTGTGAGAATCCTAGAAGATTGTATAGGTTTATAACTGGAAAAGGAGACAGGCCATATATACTCTTAGGCCTTAAAGGTCGTTGCATTGCTAATTTAACATTTTTATTTGAAAATATCCATATAAGAGGAACACTATATCTACGTAGGCAAATTTCACAGTAAGTTGAGTTGGCAAAAGTGTTAAAATCAGATTCTGGAGTGAGAGCCTCCTTTTCCTTCCTTTAAATGTCCGTGTCTTTTTCTTATCTCAGTGGGAAGCGAGGTAGGCTAGACAGAGGGAGTGCAAGACACTGGTCCCAAAGTAGCAGGGTAGGAGCCTCGTTCTAAGGGACAGTGCCCCAATCCCTCTCTCTAATAGTGCTCTGGGACTTGTAGTCCTCCGCTTCCTGAGACTTAGAAGTGCGCCCCACGAGGCCGTGTCCGGAAACTACATTTCCCAGAAGGCCAGAAGACGTTAGAGAGACCAGGAAAACCTCCCGGCCGGCCGCGCTTCCCTAAATGCCAAGGGGGCCCGCTCTCCGGCCATGCGGCGGGGCGAGGTCCCCACGTGGCACCTCCTGAGGGGGCTCGCGTGATGGAAGAAAATACGAGTCCGGCAACTACACTTATCAGCAGCTCTGTGGCGGGGCACGACTGCTGTGGAGGCCTCGGCAATATCGACCTCAGGCAGGTACACCTCGGCTTTACAGTGAGAGGAGGGTTGAGGCCGGAGCCGACGGGCGCCGCCTTCAACGCTTGATGGGTGGGACTACCCTGCTCCCAAGCAACGATGGGCTGGGCGGAGCCTGAAGGAAAGTGGCGCACGCGCGATTGGAGGTGGTGGTGGCGGGGTTTACGGGGTAGTATGCGCCAGTTGAGTCATCTCAGTTTGTCGTAGCTTGGGTGATGTAACCTGTGACTGTGATTGTGTAGGGCTGGGAAATTTTGACTGTGGAAAATCTCTGGGAAAGTGTGAGTTTGGGGTTTTTTGCATGTGAGTTCCTGGAGTTGTGTAGTCAAAGTTGCGTGGATGTCCAGAATGTGAGTGCAAGTTGAGAGTAGGCAGCTAACTACCTTTGAGTGCCTGCGGTGGGGATGTGTGGCAGGACCCCTCGTGCCACTTTAGGACCTGGTTCGATCCCCACTGACTACCGCAAACTCACCGGTATCTCCCCAGGCTGCTGCTGATCCTATCTGATTCTTCTGCGTGTTCCCTCCTTTGTACCAACCATACTTCACAGAGCCAAAGATCTCTGCCAGAAGCAGCCTGGAATAAATGAATGCACTTCAGTGTGCACATACTCATTTATTCTCAGATATAGTCAATCTCACAAAGACACTGCTGAAGTCCAGTTTTTGGAACAGACAAGGGCTGGCTTTCATTCACGCAAAGGAGACTACAGGCATAGAAGTAGTTCTTGAAAGAAGAGGAATCTGTTTTATAGAGTAGCAGGTGAAGAGAAGCAGCCTTGTGTTCGAGGGAGGGGATGGGAAGGTAAGCAGTGAGTGGTAAGGAATTGGGGTGGGAATTCCCGGTGGAGGGACAGCAGGCACACAGGAAGAAACAGGAGACAGTTACCCACTGGTGTTAAGAGCACGAAGGACAGTTAAGGTGGATGGATGGGCAGTGGATGTTTGAGAGTTTTCTCCTTTAGCATATTTGTTATTGAAACATATCCTCCATCCAGCTAGATGAGTGGCAAGTCCTAAGTCCATCTCCAGCATTTGCATAAGGCCGATATCCCCTCTCCCCTATACTCTCTTTGCTGCCCCCTTTATTTCTTGGGCATGTGAGACAAGTGTTACACCAGCTTCCACTCTTTTGAGTCACGCTGTCTAACCCAGTGTGACATCTAAGGCAAGAATACTGGCTGAAGTGCTGGGTAACCTTGAACTTGGGAATGGGGGTGGTGCGTGGAGGTAAGCTAGAATGCAGGGGGCATTTGTAGCACTGCCCAAGGGTTTGTGGCTTACCCTAGGGTGATGGAAACAAGGCCTGTGTTATGGGTCTAGAGCCAAGAGACAAGTCTTCCTGACTGGGATGGCTCCCTGGGTGTGAAGCCTTCCTGTCCTCCTCCCACTCTGTTCCAGTGGGTTCCCCTGTCCTGCATGTGCCCAGTCTCATTCAGCTGGAGAGTCAGGGCTGTTTCAGGAGATAGGTCAGGATGACCTTTGTTGAACAACACTGTGTTTTTTCTATCACAGCCTGGTCAGCACAGTTGAGCTTCCTGTTTCCAAGTGATCTCTCTCTTCTCTTCTTCTCTCTCTCTCTCTCTCTCTCTCTCTCTCTCTC